GCTGTGGCATCACAGCTCACAGCAACCTCAAACTCTTGGGCTTAAGTGATTCTCTTGCCTCAGTCCCAAGTAGCTGTGACTACATCACAATGCCCAGCTATTTTGTTTTTGGTTGTAGTTGTTACTGTTGTTTGGCAGGCCCAGGCTGGATTTGAACCCGCCAGCTCTGGTGTATGTGGCTGGCACCCTAGCTGCTGAGCTATAGGTACCGGGCCCATGTCATTTTCTATTTGGAGTTCTCCTTGCTATCTAATTTACATCCCTCTTGCTATAGTTGAAGGCCTATTCTCTCTAGGAGAGGAGGGCAGTACTTATTTCAGACTGAGTGAACTTGTGGTGCCTTCCTTTGGCATCTTCCTGATATTGGGGTGAAGACCAGATGAGATTTCTTAGGCAAAAGTGGCAGGACTTCTGAAGGTCAGTTTCCAGTGAAAGTATCTGGCTGATACTAAAATATAAAGCAAGGCATCATCTAAAATGGAAGAACCATCAAAATAGTAAAGTGATGTTAAAATGAATAAATAAATAATAAATAAATAAAAGGGAAAAACCATGCCCAGGGATGCTTACAGCAGGAAAGTGAGTAAAATAAAGAAGAGATTGTTAAATTGGTGCTGTGGGACACATGGCTTATCATTTGGTAAAAATAAAGCTAGACACTCCTCCCCTTAATATGATACATTGAATAAATGTAGGTGAAGATTTACACGTTTTAAAAAAGGCCTTTATTTTAGGTACCCTTGAGTGTGCATACTTTGGGGCTTCATCACACACTTGAAGAATGACAAGTTCTGAGGTAGGGCCTAAGAATCTGCATTTTCAACAAACTCCTGGGGTGAAAAGAATCTTGTATAAATATTTCTTACATTTTCTCCTAGTGTTTATATAATTATAAGGTGGGGAAGGCTTGGTTCAAAGGTACAAATTATTAAAGAAAATATTGACAAATCAGATTATATAAAAATAAACCTTTTACTTAAACTTTTTACTTAAAAAGATTTATTTGGTTGGGCGCAGTGGATGATGCCTATAATCCTAGCACTATGGAAAGCCTAGACAGGTGGATTGCCTGAGCTTGGGAGTTTGAGACCAGACTGAGCAAGAGCAAGACCATATCTCTACTAAAAATAGAAAAAAATAAGCCAGGTGGTAGCAGGTGCCTATAGTCCCAGCTACTCAGGAGACTGAGACAGGAGGATTGCTTGAACTCAGGAGTTTGAGGTTGCTGAGAGCTAAACTGAAGCCATTGGCACTCTAGACTGGGTAACAGAGTGAGATTCAGTAAAAAAAAAAATTGTTTTAGGTTGGGTGTGGTGGCAGAGGGCCAGAGTGAGACTCTGTCTCTAAAAATAGCTGGGAATTGTGGCAGGCACCTGTAGCCCCAGACATTTGGGAGGCTGAGGCAAGAGTTTGAGGTTGCTGTGAGCTATGATGCCAGGTGACAGAGTGAAACTCTATCTCAAAAAAAATATTTGGAGTGATGCCGGTGGGTTTAAACCTGGCCCTGGCCAAACTGCAACAAAAAAATAGCTGGGCGTTGTGGCAGG